ATGGTGTATTATTCTCCTACCACCAGAAAAACTTTTTCGGCGCATTGTCATATGTCGCGCGTTCTCTCGCTGCGCGCCGTTCGCCCGCTCACCGATCCCCGCTCGCCACCGTCTCTCATCGATCGATGCGTGACTCCACCTCTCGCTATCGATTCTTGAGAGATGTCAACAAACACACCATTTTGCATGTCTGCCGAGTCCGGCCTTCCGCTCCTCCGTGCACTTATTGGCTCAGACGTTTTTCTTAATAATGCGATAATAATTACGGATTTTGTAAAATGGTATATAACTTTTCTTCTCAGTTTAACCCAATCTACTATAATCTTTGGAGTCGTCCATATCGAATCCGACACCCTGTATAAACCAACATTGAATGAAAACGTGTAACATAGCGTGTTTAGTAAAATGCATAAAATGGAATATTTAAATAACAAATCACCAATAACTTTTTCTTAATAAACAACTAAAAAATTATTAGAATGTAGTAAATAACTATAAAATGATTTACTTTAAACACTTGTAAATGGCTAATATTTATTAGAATATTAAGGTGTGGCAAACCTCAACATAATAAAATGCTACAAAAATTTTTATACAGTTACTGTCTTTTTCAGTCATAATAATCACAATGTTAGGCACCTTGATACACGGTATATTTTGATCTTTTCATGTTGAACGCTGTCTACAGAATGACATGTGCTTTCTTTCCAGTAGGTAACGTCTTCTTCTATACAGCAGAACCCATTTCAAGGCGCATGCTCTTTATGCCGTTATTCGAAAGTATCGAACGATCAACTTGCAACAAAGTGGTTTAAATATTCCGCCTCCCTTCGTTTTAAGTCTTCAACGTTAGGCATCACGCGACGTAATAAAAAAAAGTCTTCCTAATAGCAGGTTGTTATGTCACGTAAAAAACACCCGTGGGCACTTGTTATATTCACACGTTTTTGCCACTAGTTATAGCTTATAACATCACCACACTTATGTTAGCAATTGACTACATAGAATTCACCGTTGTACATAGTCCTTTCACAGGTAAATAAATTTTTAGGTTGCTAACATTGATATTTAGTAATTAAATGTGTGAAAATTATTACTTACAATTACATTAATTCAAAATAACAAATGTTGACTTCAATAATCCAGATCTTTATGTTTTCATTATTGAGATTCTTTTATTGACATTTATTCTTTTATGACCAATTATCCTAATCTATATTCATCTTTGAATGATTTTTATGTCAAATATAAAATGAGAGTCATGGAGGTGGACAATACAGCATATGTAGATGTAATGACATATTTATAAATTATTGAATTAGTAAAAACATTTTTATACGAAAAACATTTAAATTACAATGTTATTCAAATGCTCCAGCACAATAACTATAATTAGACATTAAAATACATTACATTGTACAGTGTGGTCATTGTTATGGGGAACATTTATCGAGCGGTGAGGTAAATCGGTTTAGCTCCTCCCAGCAAAAACAGCACGTCGCGTGCAAGTTTGGATCCACGGAATACCAATTCATTACAGCAAGAAGTATAAAAACATTTCATCATGCTAAAAAGTGTTCAAAGTCTTTATAATTATTTTTCGAATAATGTTTGAATAATGATATTCATACTTTTAAAACGAAATTATTTTCTGTTTAATGAGATGCATATACTCATAATGAGAATTTTCCACATTTAAAATTCATGTCTCACGTGTTGATAACTTGGATGAAAATAGGCAAATGAGCACAGTTCACATTCTTATGCTATTTGCACATACACATAATAAAATACATGTAAACACAAAGTAAATCGATGGATTTGCTTCCTAAAAATATAAATCTTTTCGGATTGAAATAAAATTGAGTTTAATTGCAAGCTGTTTTCTAATCATCTAGTACAAATTTCAACACATTTTTGTCAAATCATGCAGTGAAATCTATTATTTATTTGCTAATTTTACTAATTACAAAACATTTAGTTTATCACATTCTACATTACAATAAAAATAACACATTATAAAAGCACATTAGAAAAATTATCTTTATCAGACATTTCTAATAATTTCTTGTTGTATGTAAAATAGATATATATCCGACTGATGTTTTTATCAACTGAAAACAATATTTTTTTAGTGTTAATTAATAATATAATAAATTTATAATCACATATAAAATTTAATGTGTGTGTGTATGTGTGTACGCGCGTGCGCACTAGATATCCGACGTAGAACTGACCAACCGAAAGAAGGAGATTACGATAATCTGAAAAAAAATTAAGTATCATTTTATAAATTTTGCAATGTTCTCAAGTAATTAATTCAAACATAGAAGTTTGCTACACGTTCATTCACTTATTGTCAGATGTTTGAGTAGACTGGACTCGGAAGGCATGTAAGAACGCTTATTTATTAGATCTCGTCATAGCAACGATGAGCATTATCTGAGGGTCGCCACTCGTTGCGTTACAATTTTCGTCGGCGCGGTCGCGCATCGCTCCACCTCTCGATCAGATGATACTGTTTCTAGAAAATCTAATAAATAAGCTGTTTTAGATGTTTCCGAATCCGGTCTACCGCTTTCTACATGCTGATTTGCTTAGACGTTTGAACTAATTACTCGATACCGATTGCGAATTTTACACAATGGTACAAACTTTTATTTTAACCAATCTACCTCCATTTCGTATTGGTCACTCGTACATCCGACTCCCTGTATACAGATTAAAAAAATATTTGCAAATTGTTGAATGAGTAAAATATAGATTATTGTACGAAAAATATTTAATTACAATGTAATTTTCAAATGCTTCAGCACAATTATTATAATTAGGCACTAAAATACCTTACATTGCAAAATGTTGTCATTGTTATGGGGAACATTTTTCCAGCGGTGAGATAAATCGGTTTAGCACCTCTTAGCAGCACAAACAACAAGTCGCGTATAAGTTTTGGATCCATGGAATACCATTTATTACTGTAAGCCGCATAATACATTTCATCGCACTAAAATGTGTTAAAATTATCTCATTTAAATTATACAATTAAGGTATTCATGTAAATAAAGAACAAACAATTAATTTTTCTACTTAAAAAGTTGTAATAAATACAACTTTTACAAAATTTAATTTAAATAATACAGGGTGTCTGATGCAAAAGTAGCAACTTTGAAAATAG